CCCGCGCGCAGGCTGCGCAGTCGGCCGCGGACACGGAACCAGGCGCCGCGCAGCAGCTTCCCCCCGCGCCGCTTCCGTCGCTCCTCATCGTCCTCCTCCAGCCCAGGGGCCGCCGCCGACGCCACGGTCTACCCCGGAGCTCCTGGGCGCCGCTCTCGGCTCCTCCACTTCCGGCCCACGCTCGGTGTAGCCGGCAAATACCCCCGCCGGCTCCCGCATCACCTGCCTTCCGCCCTCCTCCCGGGAGTGGGAACCCGGCCGCCCTCCTGGGCATGCGCAGAAACCGCGGCCAGCGGAGTCCCCGCGACGGTGGCCCGGACGGACAAGATACCTTGGCGCTGGGCCGCCGACTCGCGGGTATTGACCGAGAGCACGACTAGCGGGGCCGAGGTGGGCTGCCCCGCGACTTCTCCGCCCTCGGAGCACCGGGAGGCCTCCCGCCCCGCATTCCAGGCCCGGGAGTGAGAGCGCGGAGCCCGCCAGGTCTCTCTGCGGGACGCAATTCTCGCAGAAGACAGTGTGCCTGCCTGATAGGATTGTTAAGGGTATAGGGAGTGAGTTCCAGTACTTGAGGCGCTTCCAGAACTATTTTTCTTTTTTGATCTTCTCTGGACCTAGCCGTCTCCTACCGCTATCAGAGGGGACCCTCACGGGCGGATGCAGGTGTTGTGCGGTCCGAACCTTAGAGGATTTAGAGGGCCCTTTTAAAGATTTTATTTATTTATTTTTCCCCCAAAGCCCCAGTAGATAGCTGTATGTCATAGCTGCACATCCTTCCAGTTGCTGTATGTGGGACGCGGCCTCAGCATGGCCGGAGAAGCGGTGCGCGCCCGGGATCCGAACCCGGGCCACCAGCAGCGGAGGGCGCGCACTTAACCGCTCAGCCACAGGGCCGGTAGAGGGCCCTTTTAAAGAAAAAGAATGCAACATTATCTTATCTTTGCAAATTTTCTCGAAGCACAAGACCACGGGAACATCGTTAGGGGGCCCCCAGGGCCTTGGAAGTGGCCATTCAAATGGGCCTCTGAAGTTTGAGCTTCATTAGCTTCCCTGTCATCTCCCCTGGGCACCAAGTTGTACTGAACTGTTAAACTCATACTCACAGCAACTCTAGCAGATACTTAATGAAAAACTCTTGATTCTCTTTGAACCAAGCGTTGGAATGGCTGAAATACGGTGGTAAATTGGAGGCTGGGATTGGAATCGGCTTGGACTTGGTCTAGTTTCATATTCATGGTTCCTCTCTTATCACTAATACAGTGTAGTATCTGACATTGCAGGAGCTCAGTAGATGTTGAACAAGGTACAAGTGTACACAGACAAGTGCCCTCTCATAAGATTGGCACGTGGGGGTCCTCTAACTTAACACCATCGGGTCCTCCTCCAAGGTAAATTGATAATTAAGTTGAATAGGAGGTAGAGAAATTACTCAAAACAGTATCATGTGACTTTACAACTCCGTAGGTGATTTCAGAGAAATATTTAGAAAACTCAGGTGTATTAGACGTACAAAGAAGTTAATTGAATGTTATTGGGCTAGAAGGAGCCCTAAGTCTAGCTCTGCTACAAACTTGTGCTGTGAATTAAGTGTCTCAGTTTATACAATGAGGTTTTTGTAGATTAGAGAATCCCTAAGGACACTTAACAGCTCTAAAATGTTTTCTCAGAGCCTGTTGCAGCAAAATTTCACTTTCATTTTAAGGCAAGAATATTTTATGCTAAGAGGAAATAATTCTAAAAGTTGTTACCCCCACCCTTTATGAATAATTTCTCAATTCTTGGTGAAGAGGACAAGCCATAACAAAATATTGGTAGAAATCAACAGCGTCTGGAACGTAGGAACAAACTGGGTTTGTTTTCATTTCTCAATCCTGCATACTTAGCACAATTACTATATCATAGTAGGTGCTCAAGAAAGGTTTGTTGAATTACTTTATTTTGGATCCTTGAACAGATACTAGAAGAGTCCATAGTTGATTTCTGGGCATGCAACTGTTTGTTTATGTATTATGAATTACAAATTATGTATGATTATGAATTATGTGTTATTTCTGCATTAAGAGACAAGAACTCACATCACAATTGCACCATCATGAAAAACAAATAGGAAAGGACAGCCTTAAACAATTTTGCAAAAGCTTATATTTCCATTTAAATGAAATAACAGACGTTTTGGGAGGGAAATGTCCTCTTCTCCCCTGGGCTCCTTCATAACCAACCAGCGAGATGAGTGTTGGTACCACTGTTTATATACAGGGAACACAAGTCTGAGAGGCTGTCCCTCGCTAACGAGCAGGCCAAGCAGAGAGGGGGCTCAGGCTCATGGTCCCAGTGAGAAGCCAGTGCACAGTGTTCTTGGGTCTCGCTCAGAGACGAAATCCACTCTCGTGGGTCTGCTCCTTGCAAAGAGCACCTGCTGCGGCGGCTAACGGGAGCAAGTTTTTGTAGTCACACTGTAAGCGGCGCTCCCTCGGGTCCTCCGCAGCCTTGTAAAGTGGGCGGTCCTCCCAGTGCCCACCCCGGCCATCACTGCGCTTGCGCACATTATCCCCATGACGTCATCCCCCCGCAGGTGGCGACTGCGCCTGCGCCCGCAGCAGCTGGCGGAACCGGCTCCTTGGGCTCTGGCTTCCGGTTAGGTGACGGCGCCTGTGGCCCCGGGTCTGACGCGAGGTTTGTGCGGCGGCTCGGCCGGGGAGGGGCTCGGAGTCCGCGGAGCGGGCAGAGGTGAGGGCTGGGCCGGCGGAGGCTGGGCAGGGTGACAAAGCAGGAGGCGGCCGTCTAGCGTCTTGCCAGTCCAGCAAATGCTTGTGGTCTAAGAAGTTAGTTTTCTTCTTCGTGGACTGAAGGCCCTTCCGTTCCCCCGCCCGCCGGGGTCGCAGGGGAGGGCGCGGACCACCTTGGCGACCGCGCCGCGGCGGAAGCCGGGTCTTTGGTTCAGGGCTCTTGATCCAGACCCCCACCCCCGGGGCGTGGGGCGAGGGGACTGGAGTTTCTCCCGCGTTTGACTCTCGAGAACCGTGGTGGCTGCTTTGATTGCGTACGGTCTGATTCCGACGACCACCCCGCCACTGGGGACGAGAGGTGACGAGGTCTGGCCAAGGCCGGGATTCACCTGGGGTCTGTTGGGGGTTTGGGGGCGGAGGAGTGGTGAGGACCCCTCCCGTGATTTTGCAGGATTTTGTGGAGTTGGAGGGAATTGCTTTATTTGTCTTCTTACGCTTTGTCTTTCGTTAACTTTCTACATCCCACAGCCTTCTGACCTTTTCTTACCGCTAATTTCTTTCTGCCCAGATTCTCCCAAAATGTCACAAAGTGCAGGGGAAGGTAGGCTACTGTAAACCCTGTGTCTTGTCAAGAGTTGCAGGCTTCGATTGTACCGGTCACTTTCTCTCCAATAAAAGAGCACTGAAACATCTCCCGTATTCACTTAATGCAACCTTGCTAGTGGGTTCGGTTGTGTCATTTCAGGACAATAAAGGCAGCAGCTGAATGGATGATGAGTCACTCTTGTGAACTAATTACTTGTACTCGTTCTCTTGAAAGCTTTGCTGATCGTTATCAAAAAGTGGTGTCCCCCCTTCTTATTTGCTTAGTATTTTATTTATATGTTAAATGTCGCTTAGATCAACAAACATTATAGTGTTAAAATTGATCAAGGACTCACTGAATGCCGGTACTGTGTTAAGCACCTTCTGTAAGTTATCGGTTGTCATTCTAATTTCTGCATGGTTATTAACCTCATTTTATGCTTAAGGAAACTGAAGCTTAGTAGTGGCCCCATATCACACAGCTGTTAAATGTTAGAGTCCACAGTTGAACTCAGATTTATTGGACTCCAGAGCCTGTGCCCTAACCACTGACTTCTTTGTTTTGTTTTTTTGCAAATCAAAAACATCAGATAAAAACCTCAGAATCCAGAAAATAAAAATAGCATATAAAAAGTAGTGGAAATCCTAATATTTGACTTTCTATACAATTTTAATAAGTAAAAATATTTAAGCCTATTCATTTTATGCTAATTTTGTAATCCTTGTTATCTCTGTAACACTTTATGATGCATGTGTATCCACATCATTGCTTAGATTTCAACCTTGTTATAAAGTAATTTGAGTCTTTGCCTGGGACTTGAGGGAAACTGGGACTTTGGGACCATATAGAATCTACAGATAGATCAGAAACTGTATACTAATTTTGAACATTCAAAGAAGTATTTCTTAACATACTTCATTTTATATACATTATATATAAATTGTAAATGTAATGTTATATGCCATGCCGTACCAGCTTGAGGGAGCCTGTTTGGAGATGTTGGACATTGAACATTCCTAACCAGGTGGTACAGTCAGTTATGCAAATGAGACAGAGTGAGGGGAAGCAGTTACTGTAGTCAGAGATAAAAGTCTGAGGAACGGGGTCTCTCGTGGGTTTATCTTTTGGTCTAACCGACTCAGTAGTAGTTGGGTTTCCTTTGTCAGGAGTCAGACTGAGAAGTGCAGCATTTTTCCCCATAGGCCACCAAATGGCTGCGTGAAATTTGCCTGGTGCGGTCATAGCTGCTGAATGTTTTTAACAAGACTGAATCCCACCAGGGGTTTTGGGTGTGTGTTTGTAACTAGCTCCTGGCCTTCCCTAGTGTGCTTTTCCAGGAACTCAACTCCAGGTATTCAGGAATTCATTCAGCAACCAAACTTGGTGCTGTTGGCACGAATTACAACACAGTTTCTGACCTCCAGAGACTGACAGCTTAGTAAATGCGGTGCCGTTATTGGCCATTCGATTTCTTGTACTAGATGTTAGATAATGTAGCCTTGTGCTGATAGTGTGTGCAATTGTCGTTTGTTTGCTGAGGTGGAGAATCTCGTGGTCTCTATGCTACATGGCACCCATTCACTGTGAATCTGCTCTGACTCTGCTCTCTGGGTGACATAAGATGTGCCAGAAGGTGTCTGAAACCCCAAGATAAAACAAGGTTCGTACTCCTGGAGCACACATTTTTACTTGAAACCTTTTTTGGAAAAGTTAATTTTAGTATTACGTAGTTTAAACTGTGTCAACGTAGCTCTGACATCTTATAGATTCTAATGAAACCTGCCTGAATATCTAAAACTTCAAAGAAATTTCATACTTGTAGTGACCACTTGAGGAAATATTCTAGACCCTAGCCCAGCAAGGTACCCATTATCTCCTCTCTGACCTCAAAAGATACTTCAGTGAAAAGCTCTGTCTCGTGACATTTTACTTTGTTTTATTTTTATTTAAGCACTTAGCATTTTATAACTGGTTCCCATTACATCCCTTTTTCTTTACAGAATGTATGCTCTCTTAAGGCAGAAAACAGACTGTGTGCCCACAGCTTGGTGCTTGGCTCATGTGTAGTCAGTGAGTGGTTGGGGCATAACTGGCCTGGGAATAAGAACAAAAAAATGTATGAATGAGTTGCAATTTATAAAACTGTAAGTAACTATGATAAAATAGAGTTAAAAGAGAGGTCAGGTGAGGACTTCATGGGGAGGGTATTTTGAGTCAGGTTTTGAATGTCGAGTGATTTGGCACAGTGAGGGGTTAAGAAGCGACAGTAAGCACAGTCATAGGCTTTCTTTGGCTGGAAGAAGAGGATGCCTATTTTTTGTGAAAGGCCCTGTCTATGTAGGAGTTCAAACTTCCTACCAAGCCAGATTTCAATTCAGTGAGCTAGTGATTTGTTAAAAACATCTACTTCAAAAAGTTTTGTTTCTGGTGCTGTGTGGTCGTCTGACAGAAAAGGAGGCGAAATAGAAGGAGAGGCCTTACCTCAGAAGCCCAGAAATGAAGTGAATTGAGGCTGATTTGTTTTTCTGTTATCATTAGCAATATTCTTTTGCATTATGTGCTGAATAATTAAGGAATGGAATAATTAATTCAATGGAAGTTGGAATTTAGGGAGAAAGATAATTAAAAGATTAATTTCAGTGTTGTAAATATAGGGAATGGGGCTGGTGATACTTTTGATAATAAATACTAAATAGGATTGAAGTAAAAGAGTTGATTTTCATTAAATGTAGAGGTTGAAAAGAGACATCGTTTATAGCATTGGTCTATTTTCATTTAGCAAATATGAATAAACATTTATCATGAACCAGGCACTCTCTGAAGGTCTTTACATTAAACATTAATTGTGTTTTATCTTTTACTTAATGTTATTCTCTTTTTGCTTTATTAGTTAACCCAGAGGATTCACTATCGCTTCTATGGCTGCCTCACAACCTTCACAGACTGTTGCATCGCACGTTCCTTTTGCAGATTTATGTTCAACTTTAGAACGAATACAGAAAAGTAAAGGACGTGCGGAAAAAATCAGACACTTCAAGGAATTTTTAGATTCTTGGAGAAAATTTCATGATGCCCTTCATAAAAACCAAAAAGATGTCACAGACTCCTTTTATCCAGCAATGAGACTTATTCTTCCTCAACTAGAAAGAGAGAGAATGGCCTACGGAATCAAAGAAACTATGCTTGCTAAGCTTTATATTGAATTGCTTAATTTACCTAGAGAAGGAAAAGATGCCCTTAAACTTTTAAATTACAGAACACCTACTGGAACTCGTGGAGATGCCGGAGACTTTGCAATGATTGCATACTTTGTGTTGAAACCAAGATGTTTACAGAAAGGAAGTTTAACCATACAGCAAGTAAATGACATTTTAGACTCAATCGCCAGCAATAATTCTGCCAAAAGAAAGGACCTAATAAAGAAGAGTCTTCTTCAGCTTATAGCTCAGAGTTCAGCACTTGAACAAAAGTGGCTTATACGGATGATCATAAAGGACTTAAAGCTTGGTGTTAGTCAACAAACTGTATTTTCTGTTTTTCATAATGATGCTGTTGAGTTGCATAATGTCACCACAGATCTGGAAAAAGTTTGTAGGCAACTGCATGATCCTTCGATAGGACTCAGTGATATTTCTATCACTTTATTCTCTGCCTTTAAACCAATGTTAGCTGCTATTGCAGATATTGAGCGAATTGAGAAGGACATGAAACACCAGAGTTTCTACATTGAAACCAAGCTAGATGGTGAGCGTATGCAAATGCACAAACGTGGGAATGTGTATCAGTACTTCTCCCGAAATGGATATGACTATACAGATCAGTTTGGTGATTCTCCACAGGCAGGTTCTCTTACACCATTCATTCATAATGCATTCAAACCAGATATAGAAATCTGTATTCTTGACGGTGAGATGATGGCCTACAACCCTACTACACAAACATTTATGCAAAAGGGGAACAAGTTTGATATTAAAAGGATGGTAGAAGATTCTGATCTGCAGACTTGTTATTGTGTTTTTGATGTATTGATGGTTAATAATAAAAAGCTAGGACGTGAGACCCTGAGACAGAGGTATGAAATTCTTAGTAGTATTTTTACACCAATACCAGGTAGAATAGAAATGGTGCAAAAAACACAAGCTCATACTAAGAAAGAAGTAGTTGATGCTTTGAATGAAGCAATAGATAAAAGAGAAGAGGGAATCATGGTAAAACATCCTCTGTCCATTTACAAGCCAGACAAAAGAGGTGAGGGATGGTTGAAAATTAAACCAGAGTATGTAAATGGACTGATGGATGAACTGGACATCTTAATTGTCGGAGGCTATTGGGGTAAAGGTTCACGGGGTGGAATGATGTCTCATTTTTTGTGTGCTGTAGCAGAGAAACCCTCTTCTGGTGAAAAACCATCAGTGTTTCATACTCTCTGTCGTGTTGGCTCAGGTTACACCATGAAAGAACTGTATGATCTGGGTTTGAAATTGGCTAAACACTGGAAGCCTTTTCATAAAAAAGCTCCACCAAGTAGCATTTTATGTGGAATAGAGAAGCCAGAAGTGTACATCGAGCCTTGTAATTCTGTCATTGTTCAGGTTAAGGCGACAGAGATTGTCTCCAGTGATATGTATAAAACTGGCTGCACGTTGCGTTTTCCACGAATTGAAAAGATAAGAGAAGACAAAGAGTGGTATGAATGTACGACTCTGGATGACTTAGAACAGCTTCGAGGGAAGGCATCTGGGAAGCTTGCATCTAAACACCTTTATGTAGGTGGTGATGATGAACCACAAGAGAAGAAGCGGAAAGCTGCCCCAAAGATTAAGAAGGTTATTGGAATTATCGAGCACTTAAAAGCACCTAACCTTTCTAACATAAATAAAGTTTCTAATATATTTGAAGATGTGGAGTTTTGTGTTATGAGTGGAATAGACAGCCATCCAAAGCCTGATCTGGAGAACAGAATTGCAGAATTTGGTGGTTATATAGTACAAAATCCAGGCCCAGACACGTACTGTGTGATTGCAGGTTCTGAGAACATCAGAGTGAAAAACATAATTTCTTCAGATAAACATGATGTTGTCAAGCCTGAGTGGCTGTTAGAGTGTTTTAAGACCAAAAGCTGTGTGCCCTGGCAGCCTCGCTTTATGATTCATATGTGCCCATCAACAAAACAACATTTTGCCCGTGAATATGATTGCTATGGTGATAGTTATTTTGTTGATACAGATTTGAACCAACTAAAGGAAGTGTTCTCAGGAATTAAAAATTCTATTGAACAGACTCCTAAAGAAATGGCTTCTGTGATTGCTGATTTAGAACATCGATATTCCTGGGACTGCTCTCCTCTCAGTATGTTTCGACACCACACCATTTATTTGGACTTGTATGCTGTTATTAATGACTTGAGTACCAAAATCAAGGGAACAAGATTAGCTATTACAGCCTTGGAACTTCGATTTCGTGGAGCAAAAGTAGTTTCTCATTTAGCTGAGGGAGTGTCTCATGTAATCATTGGGGAGGATCATAGTCGTGTTGCAGCTTTAAAAGCTTTTCGAAGAACCCTTAGGAGAAAGTTTAAAATCCTGCAAGAAGGCTGGGTAACTGATTCAATAGACAAGTGTGAGTTACAGGAGGAAAACAAATATTTGGTTTAAAGCTAGCTTTTCTAGTGAGGAGAGCCTCTGATCTGGCCCACTAGTTGCAACAGGTTACCTTTTATTATCTCTTAAAATTTATGCTTAAACAGTATTATTAGATATAGGAAAATAATAGTTTTAACTTTAGAGATAGAAAAGACAATGGCTCAAAGCCAAGAAAGAAAAATTCTTTTACCACTGTAGTATATGATGATTTTTATAACCAAGACGAAATAAGCAGTTTAAAACAAGCGTTTATATAATATCATTATAGAAATCTAGAATTTTGACTCAAATATTAATAAAATACATTTAGAAGATTTTAGAATCATTAAAAGTATTGACGTAAACAGGGTTTTCTGAAATCAAATCAAAATTTTAATAATAGTTTTTATCTAATAAAAACATTGCAAGAAAAAAAAATTGTTACAATTGGACTTGTAACATTGTGTCTTTTAAATTGAAAATTTCTCTTTTAAGTGAAATGTTGTAAAATTTATTTTTTAAGGCGAAGTTCAAGCTCATGAATAAGACCTTGTTAATGATGTCATTAGATAAATTAGGGAAATTGGATGGGCTTAGTGGTCTAAAAACTTAGATAATTTGATTTAAAAAAAAAAACTTGCAATTTTAAAAGTACTTGGCCCGTATTTAATTCTTTTTCTAAAATAAAGCATGTTTTAAGGAAAGTATTTTTATGTGAATTCATACTCCAGTATAAATAGTATTCACAAAGAGTGTTTTTCCTAGATGTAATGCATTGAGTAGGTGTCAAAATGGCCTGTGTATTATAACTTTCATTATAGAGAAGTAAATTGCTTTGACTATTTAAAATGATTTTTATCCTTATGTTATTTAAAGTCAGTGTATATAGTATATATTACGTCTGGAATTATATACCAAATTTTGGAGTATAGCCTATACATTTTGAAAAATGTGTGTTTACGTGACACCATTGACTTACTTGGAATTTGGTACCCAAGGAACTGTGTGTAGATTATTTGTAAGTAATTTGAAATTTTATCCAAACAGTGGAACAAATGTATGTAATTTTGTTATCTTTCTTAATTTAAATAAAATATTTAATATACTATTAAAATAATTTCTTACAATTTATTTATTTATTTATTTATTTATTTTGCTGAGGAAGATTTGCTGCGAGCTAACATGTGTGCCAACTTTCTTCTTTTTTATGTATGTAGGTCACCACCACAGCATGGCAGCGGATGAGTGGTGTAGGTCCACGCCTGGGAAGTGAATCCCAGGCTGCTGAAGCAGAGCACACCAAACTTAACCACTAGGCCACAAGGCTACCCCGCTATGTTTATTTTAAAACAGTTCATAGTAGTTATTTCAGTCAGATAGATGTTATGGTATCAGTATAATTTTTGACTGATTCAAATCAGGTTCTTATGTAAGGTTCTTTGTATTTCATATTACTGAATGAACTTTATAATGTCTATTGTGAAAAAATACAGAATAAATGCAAATAAGTATAGTGGGGGGACAAAGTATGTAATTTTACCACCAAAGTTGATAACATTTACTGTTTTGTTATTGATGGTAAGGAAAGTGCAAAATACATATTTACAGTGTTAACAAATAAGTATAAAACAAACTATAAAGCTTCATCTGAGTAGCTTTTCTCACTTAATACATTGTGAAAATATTTACAGGTCACTAAAATATACCTACATCATTTGTAGTTGCTGCACAGTATTGCATTGAATGTGCTGTCATTATCCAGCTAGCCCGTCGTCATTCAACTTTCTGGTTATTTCACCACCACCCCCTTTTTCTTTTCCTGCTGGACATTGTGATACATCTTTTACATAGTCTGTGTACGCTAGTCCTATTTGTTTCTTATAAACTCAGAAATGGAATTGCTGATTCAATGTTGTGTATTTTTTGGTGACTTGATATGTGTTGCAGAATTCTGGCAAAAATGTCTTAGATTCTTGACATCTTTCTCATCTCTAAATGTTAGAGAGTTCACTTTCTTAGTACTGGACCTATTCTCTGTTTTCACTCACTCCACATGTATTCTCATCCTGTCCCATGGCTTTAAATTTGGTGATAACTCCCACATGTTTTTAGCTCTGATTTTTTTTGCTGTACTCCAGTTCATATATGTAACTATCATATAACATCTCCACATGAAGTCTAATGGGCTTCTCATACATAATGTGTCTAATCATAACTATTCCTTTTAAAATTTTTATCATAGGGCCAGACTAGTGGCATAGTGGTTAAGTTTGCGCTCTGCTTCAGCAGCCCAGGGTTCACAGGTTTGGATCCCCGGCATTGACCTATGCACCGCTCATCAAGCCATGCTGTGGCAGCATCCCACATACAAAATAGAGGAAGATTGGCACAGGTTAGCTCAGGGACAATCTTCCTCAAGCAAAAAGGGGAATATGGGCAACAGATATTAGCCCAGGGCCAATCTTCCTCACCCCCCAAAAAAAAATTTTTATCGTAGAAGAAATTTAAAATGCAAAACAGTGAATAGTGTAATGAACCTGCATGGATACATCACCTAGTCTCAACAATTATCAATGATTAATCTTTTTTCATATCTACAGACCTCTAGATTATTATGAAGTAATCTTAGATCACACAATTTCATCTACAAATATTCCATATAGAACTCTTGATTTCTCACACGCACTTAATGCTCTTTCCCAGTGTTCCCCTTCTCACTAAATAGTGCATCTATTCACCCAGCTCCTCAAGGTAAATACCAGAGTCGTCCTGAACTCCGTCTGTTCTCTCCAATACAAAGCAAATCTTGTGGGCTAGAACTTTCAAATATGTTCAGAATATGACCTCTCACCACTTACCAATGACAACAGTCTACGTCCCTATTACTGGACTTCAATGGCCTCCTCGTTGGCCTTCCTCCTTGTACTCTTGCTCTACTACTCTCTTCTCCAGAACAAGTTTTTTACTTTCAAAGATGCAAGCCAGATCATGTTATTCCCCTGGTCAAAACCACTGAATCCCTTCACTCCTAACTCCCACAGTCTTTAACATGTCCTGTTGGACGTGGACCCACATTATTGGCTTCAGTTAGCTCTCTGTCTTCAATTCCTGCCAATTACCTGCCTTGCTCACCACATTCTGATCTGTTTGCTTTTACTTTGAACCTCATGCAGCTCGCATGTTTTCCCCCATCTACATCCCCAATACTTACTATCCCTTCACCTGGCTTTATTTTTTCCAAGGCACTGTTATTTCCGCCTCTTTATTTCCTACCACTAGAAATAACTCCACGAATGAAGACACTTGGTATGTTTTGTTCACTGCTGTAATCAGTACTCAATAAATAGTCATGGAATAAATCCTCTGAAGCTGACTGAAAAACCTACTTTGCTCTTAGTCTCCAAGGCCGTGGGTTCTTGCCAGAAAGCAGGAGATAATTACTGTTCAAGAACTCCTCCACCTTCTTCTGCATCCCAGATGACTTAGAACTGCCCTGAGAGAGCGCATTCATACCTTCTCTGAAAGTCAGATGGCTGCTCTAGCTGCCCCATACTCACGTGCTTTGCCTGGGATCGGCTTATACAAGGTTGCTTTGGACCCTTGGAATTCTCACTTTTGGGGAAATAGTTTGAGTGTAGCTTTAAAGCATCTAATATGGAATTCTTTCAGCACTAGGGCTATTCTCTAAACAACTGCTACCGTTCACTTTCAACCAACATATAGTAAGTTCTTACTCTCTTTGATGGTCCTTTGGGTGAAAAGATGAATAAGGCAGTCTCTGCCCTCAAGGAACTCACAGTGTTCTGAAAGATAAAGATAATTGAAATACAAAAGAAAAGTGTTTTCAGAGTTAAAGTCATGATGGGTTGCCCTGGAAAGCCATATGCTGTGGTGAAAGGAATACAAACTTTAGAATCTAGTCATCTGGGGGGCTCAATTCCAGTTCAGCCACCAATTATCTGTGTTGTTTTGAGCAAATCACAAGCTCTTTGAACATTAGTTTCTAGACTTTCAAATGGAAACAGCACCTATCTCACCCACAATGTTTGAGGACAGAATTATAGCACCCAGCATATAGGAAGGGCTCTCCAGCTTTTATCTACTGCTCTTACCCAGGACTCCCCAGTGGAGGTTAATTAATACCATAGGGGTTAGTAAATGATAGGTCCTGAAAAGATAAGGAGAATTTCATCAAGCACAGTGGTCTGGAGGGTTTTCCTGGCAGAGGGAAGATTCTAAGTAAAGGCACAGGGAGTACAAAAGTGTGAAGGATATTTATAAGATATTCAGATTTAGGTGTGAGGGGGAGATTAGGTAAATAAATTAGGATAGCTTTTGAAAGATCTTAAATGCCACACTACAGAATATGGGTTGTACCTGGTGCTTAAGAAAAGTGAAGGATTTTAAATGATGTTTTAGACTCCTGTCTAAGGCTAATTTCTTGATTCCCCCTGGCTTAGTTTGAGCGGATGTAATGAAAATAACATCAACTGGGAGGCTTCCATCCCAGACAAACATACCATCCCACAACAAACATTTATTTCTCCCAGTTCTGGAAGCTGGAAGTCCACGATTAAGGTGCCAGCAAAGTTGGGTTCCTGGTTTACAGACGGCTGCCTTGTTGCTGTATCTTCACGTGGTGGAGAGAGACGGAGATCTAGTCTCTCCATCTTCCTGTAAGGGCACTACTCCTGTCATGGGGCCTCCACCCTCACGGCCTCGTCTAAACCTAATCACCTCCCACAGACCCCACCTCCAATGCATCACAATGAGGATGAGGGCTTCAACAGAGGGATTCTGGGGGGACACATTCAATCCATAGCACCCCCTTGCCTTTTTTAGTTGTTCACAAATACATCTTCCAAGCCGCAAGCACTGTTCTAGTTCCTGGGCAAACAGCAGTACACAAAATGGGCAAAATTGTCTTCCTCTAGTTTACAATTTAGTGGGTAAGAGCAGAAGGAGGATAATCAGTGATTCCTTCTTTCTCTGGTCTCTGCATTCTCTCTTACAGACTGTTTCCCTCAGCACTGAAACAACCCTGTATTCTTTTACTGATTTTTCTTTTCATACAGAAGCAGTTTTA